TCTCGGTGAACCGTGTCGAGTTTACGACAGCGGGGTGACGATCGCAGTGGTGGGAGTTAGCACGCGACGGCCGGGATCAACGGTGTGGGTATGAGGATCGATGTTGAGTTGATTRGCCCGGGGCCATATTGGAATTAACGRCGAATGCGCCTTTGTTGCGGATTGTTATCTTTGGCGTGAGTGTACGGCGGTGACGCCGAACTTTTCTCTTCCTGGATCTTGTCATCTTCTACTTTGGACTTTCTTTCCCTCGACTCTCTCTCTCTCTCTCTCTCTCTCTCTCTCTCTCTCTCTCTCTCTCTTTCTTCTTGAAAGACGATGCGTCTGAATGATTGTCCCTCTCTTGAATGGGAATGAGTCGGCATCCTGTTTCTGTGTGAAAGAACTTCTTCTGGAACTCTTCCATTAGTTTCCCGGGTAATCCCCCTACGCAAGGACCCCGTCTACTTGTCTTGTGAACGGTGGATGCATGTGTACTGTGCAATGCGATCCATCTTTTTCTATGAATATCTCATTTTTGCAGCTTCCACAGTCAATGCATGTATAGAGATGCGTGACTTTTCGGATTGATTAGATGAGTGTCGTCGGGATTTTTGTTCGAGAATACAAGAGTGTTTAGATCTATAGTCCCGAATGCACGACGCATGTCATCTGCCTTATGCGGCACGACATCAGCAGCCACGTCACCAGGCGACCTTGAGAAACAAGGCGTCGGAAACCAACGTTGTGGTGAACCGAGTCGCGGGTCGATCCCTTAGCCCTATGCATGATCAAGCTGATGTGTGTCTGCTCCCTCGTGTGTCAAGAATGATAGAATGAGGGTCGCATGAATGATTTTTGTTCTTAATGACGTCTCTGGATATATGTGATTGATTGATATGTGGTCTGACTAGAACCCTTCGATTGGGCGCCAGCCTCCCGTATCTCCCATCTCAACACGACCTTTTCCCTACAGTGAGGAAAGGACACGTGTATGTGAGTGGGACGTACGAGAAGCCGTCGCACAAATCGGCGGGCAGTATTACTTCCCTCCGGCCAACCGTTGTTCTGGGTTCATAGACGCCGGATTTGTCATTATTGATACGCACTTTCCACCCTACTCGATATTGTTGCCGTTTAACGAGCTGATCGTCATTCCGTGGACGGCAGTGGCGCCCCATTGGCCCCGCACTCTGTGCACGGAGTGCCAACGTTTCGATTGCTACGAAGCGAAGGGCTTACACTACCGAATACGGAGTGAGGACGAGCATAAGGAAAGAGCCACTCGGCTGAGACCATCCACATCGGATTCAGAACTGACCAGCGAACGACGACGAGATCTGATACGAAAGCGAGACACGCGAAGCGTGCCAGAGCTTTTCCGTTGTAAACGACGGGCTGTAGCCCGGTGGGAAGCCCGACAGTACTTTTTGGATTGAATTTGAATCTTTCTGTTTTTGCGCCATGTCCGCGTGCGCAGTCCACGACGCGCGAAACTAATCGACTTGCTTCATCGGACCATCACGGGGAATTTCAGTTCCATTTGTGTCCCCACACTCAATTTCCAAAAATCCTTGGCACACCCAATCTTGCTGTTTTTCTGGGCCTCTTTCCGCACGTCTCACACTCCGAACGAAAGACAGCACAGGGCGTGAGGTTGGTATCGGAGCCGACACGTGTCGGTTCTGATAATAGTAAGTCGAACTGGCGAGAGGTAGGAGAGACCCTCAACTAGCTCGTCGAGATCGCCCTGTAACCAGGTCTCTGTCTAGTGTGGCTGCACCAGCAATCCCAATAGTAGACGGTACTAGGGTAATCGTTAGCATCCCTGCCCCTTTTCCCTTCTGCCCTAACCATACCCAACCCGAGGCTTGGCTGAAAGTTGTCGAAGCTCAAAACTACAGCGCAACCGATCTTCCCCGTGTTCTGATATTACTACTTCGCAACACATCACATGAATGGTTTAGAAAACATACGTGGGTAAATTGGGATACTTTCAAGCGAGCATTCTTGGCTCGATTCGATACGGTTAGTGAAGATGCCGCCTGGTATATACTCAAAAATCGACCACAAGGGCCAAGGGAATTATTGCCCGATTTCGTCGATCAATTTCAAACCACGTTGGATAAAACCGGGGGAGACGAGAATTTCGCTCGACACTTGTTTATTGATCACCTTCGAAGTCCGACCTTGAAAGACAAACTTCAGAAAAAGGTTCCGCCGAAAACAACCCAGTTATCGGCTATCATCACTAAAGTGTTGGAGTTAGACGTGGCTGATACAAAAAAATATATCAACCAGGGAGACGAGGATATTACAGATACCATACGGGATGTAACGGTCAAAAGGTGATCATGGCTATAGGCGGTCGAACGGTTTTATCCCCGCCCCAACCATGACCTTCCCGGCGGAATCGTCTCCGATATCCCGGCTGCTTCTCCTCCCTCTCCCCCGGTGAATCAATCAATCGCAGCCGTTAGAAGCGGAACCCCATCCGAAGCCCCCTCGCCAGCCATAACCAATTTGCATCTTGCCCAGATGATCCATATGGCCACTACTAAGCAGTCCGAATGGATGAGTAACCTGATCCAAATGCAGGCGGCTCACATAGAACGGATGGAACAGATCATGAGCCGGCTCATTAAGCCTAACCCGACTCCTGCCCGACCTACCCCTGCATCGTTTCCGCTCTTACCTGCTCCACCTGCTCCAGGATTCGCCCCCTAGTTTCCCCATCTAGCTAATCCGGCAGGAAAGATCGAGTGTTTCAACTGCAAACAGCCCGGGCATTTCGCCCGAGACTGTCCGCAGCCGAAACGTAATCAGCCTCCCCCTGTTGCGGCCCCAGTCGCCCTTAATCAAGGACGAGTGGCCGCTCTGATGGACACGGACCAGGGAGGAGAGCTCGTAGCGTATGCTCCAGAACAGCCTTCCTCTTTGGTGATAATAGCGTCGACCTCAGGAGCTTCTTCCTCTGACGCTCCTGACGTGGTCGATCCCCTCGAGTATCTCCATCTTGCCGGAATGATTGGAGCGATCCGATCGGCCCAAGATGATCTCGAATGGGTCGACCGCGAGTCCAATCCTGGATCACAGTTTCGGACAGGGGATATTGATGTACTGAAAACGCTCAAGCAATTAGATATTCGCGTTCCTATCCCAGTAGGACATCTGCTCACCATATCTGAAGCAGCGAACGATAAACTTTTACAACATTGTCAGAAAAATCAAAAGCGCTTCACCTATCAGCGCATACAACGGATGTTGAAGAAGAAGGAAGAAGACGAGAACGTTGCACCCCTCGAGCCAGATACAAAAGAACTTGAACCCGAAGCCGCACGTATAGCAGCGATCTCTTTAGCAGAAAAGGATCACTTCGTACGAGCTCGACGGGTACTATGGAAGCGTGGAATGTGACTGTGAAGTTTGGGGTAAGCCGTTTAACGCCCTTATCGACACAGGGTCTTCTGCAGTGGCCATATTGTTAGATACTGTTAAAAAGACGGGACGACTTGGATCCATTCTTCCTCAATCTGACAAAGACAACTATGTCTCTATCGACGAGGAAACAATGAACATCATAGGTGTTATCGAGAACGTAGCCGTAAAAGTGGGACGAGTACACGTCCTTGTTAACGCACTTGTAATAGATGTACGTTCCTACTCTGTATTATTGGGATTACCTTGGGGGATGGCAGTGGGCGCACGTCTGCATTTCGATTCGAAGCAACTGGTGCTCACGCAAACTGGGGGAAAACCTCAAACTGTTCCTTTGCGAGTTTCCACCCGAACGATAAAACGGGTCCCTAACTCGGCTCCCATCGGGATGATTCGATATATTGATTCCGAGGAGTGCTCCCCCTTGGACCTCGAGGATGGAATCAGGGAGCGAGAATATGAAGAAGAGATGCCCAGTGAAGAGGAATGGAAACATCTGGTTGAACTTTTCGAACATGAAACCCCTGAGGAATTTCGAGTGTGCCGCGACATCGCCCGAAGCTTTCACGTGGATTCTGAAGACGGTATATTCACACCTCTAACAACTCAGGTCAGTCCTTCAGTTCTCCTTGGGGAACCCATATTACAAGTCTCCAATCTGGCTGATGATTTGGAACCCCCTCGCACCTTGTACGAGGGAACTCTTTCCTTACGAACGCGTTATCAGCAAACGGAACAGTATTTGGATGTTTCTGTTTTTCCACCCCGATCATTATTAACGACATGAGACACCATCGCCTTGATTAGACGAGAAGCGGAAGCACCGGCAAGTGACATGCCGAATCTAATGCAAGAAATGACGGATCTAACAGGGCTAACTGTGGAACCGACTTCGGTTGGTTCAGAGACTAACGCTGAAACTAAAGAAACGGAGATGATCAGCCCCGCTGAATCCCAGATGATCGCAACTGTCTTCTCTGTTCGCACCAGTAGTTTCGTTTTTTCTAGTGTCGGTGATCGGTGGGAGCGGCCGGTTGATTGGATCGATATCCCCCTTAAGATGTCCAGGGAATCAACGATCACCCTACCGAGCCAAGTTCCCGCGAAACTACGAAAGTCGTTAATCCATGTGTTAAATGGTTACGCAGATGTATTGAGCTTGCACGATAATGACATCGGCCTGACGAATGTGATCGAGCATGCTATTCTCACGGGAGACCACCCACCCATTAGCTGTGTTCCTTACCGATATTCACCAGCTCAACGAGCGGCCGCTTTTCAGCGAATTAAGGAGTTCGAAGCTAATGGATGGATCGAACCCGCTATAGGACCATGGTCTTTCCCTGTAGTAATCGTATCTAAAAAGGCCAGAGGAATTCGCATTTGCATTGATTATCGAAAGTTGAATGACATCACGATTAAAGATGTGTATCCCCTCCCCCGGATTGATGAGTTGTTAGATGCGATTGGGAGTGCTCGATTTTTCAGCAAGTTTGATGTTCGTCATGGGTTCCATCATCTTGTTGTTCGAGAAGAAGATCGTCCGAAAACGGCGTTTGTGCTTTTCGAGGGTACATGGCAGTGGATTCGATGCCCGATGGGTATCTGCAACGCCCTTGCAACTTTCCAGCGGGCCATGAACATGGCTTTTCATAACTTTGTACGGAAGACTCGTTTGGCGCAGAGCATCATCAACTACGGCGTGATTGTGTACATGGATGACATCTTAGTGTATTCGAGTTCCTACGAGGGATACGTGCAGCACATCGAATGGGCACTACATGCGTTACGAGATGCAGGTTTCAAGGTGGTGGCGCTTGAGAAGTGTCAGTTTTTCCTCACCACTATTTCTTTCCTGGGGCACGTGGTGACAGACAAGGGACTCCAACCGGAGCTGCAGAAGGTGGCAGCTGTCAGGGACGGGCCAGTGCCTACCACTATCACGCAAGTTCGCCCCTTTCTGGGCCTAGCCTGGTATTAACGAAGGTTTATCAAGGGCTTCGCGGCGATTGCGGGACCTCTCACAAATCTGTTGCGCAAGGATCAGCCGTTGATCTGGACGACGGAATGCGATCAAACATTTTCCAAACTCAAGGCTGCTCTCATTTCGGCTCCGGTCCTTATAAGACCAGATTGTTCTCATCACCGACTGGCAGCCAGAGGCGATTTCGGCGATCCTTGCCCAGGTGGGACCGAGCGGACTCGAGAGTGTGGTGGAGTATGCGTCCAAATCAGTGCCCGCCTGCAAGCGCAATTACGCCGCTCCAACGGGCGAATGCTATGCGGCTCTCTGAGGAATCAGTCACTTTCGTGCTTACCTTTACGGGCAAAAATTCACCCTGGTGACTGATCATGAGCCCCTCTTGGCTCTGAAGAAGTCGGGCAACGGTGTTGCAAAGCATGGACTTTGACATCCGCCATCGGAAGCACGAGAGACACGGGAATGAGGATGGACTGACACGACTACACCGGCCTGAGAAAGTTTCAAAAAACGAGGAGGTAATTCTGTGGAATGAACCCGAACAGGAGATTGGACCTCGGTACGACCAAGTGGAGATTTTATCGACGCAGTAAGTGGCACGAGGACTAATTGTTCTGTTGTACCCTCCCTGCATCCTCTCCTCCTTTGACATCATGGCTACTCCACTCGCCTCCGCAACCCCTTCATCTCCTACTAATTCTGCCCCTCTCACGTCCTCCGCTTTCTTTGCCACCCTCCCCGATAAATTCTGTTATTTTTGCACGTGTATTACACGGGTTTATGGGGTCGACTGTCATCCCTTCGAAACTGGGTTTGTCGATTGGGTAGAATGTGCCATGTGTGTTAATCGTGCGCATGGAGCCCGCGTTCGATATCGGACGAGTAGCAAGGAATGGAGGTGCCCCCTGTGTAGAACGAACAAACTCCCCACGGAGGTTCGATTCGAGGCCGGCCGTACGGACGGTCCTGAATACAACGAAAAAGACCGACGGGCGGAAGTCTGGACGGATAAAATTTTATTAGTGAAATTAGCGGGATTATCATTGGGCCATCTCACCAAGCACGACAGACGTAGGGCGACCGAGAGATCTCGGGACTATAGATGGATCAACGGTCATTTGGAAAAGCATAAAACTGACGGATCGGGTTCGTGGCTGACAGTTCCCCATCCCTTCCAGAGATACGATTGGATCCGATCTGCTTACGAGGAACAGGCCGCTCATTTCGCGATACGTGTCACGGAGGCAACTGTAGACCAGAATCGATGGTTTTGGTCCAATATACGAGATAATGTCAAATACATTGTTGCTAACTGTCTGGTCTGTGCCGCTGATCGCGCCCCTATACGGGGACCAAACACGATCGTGCCAACGGAAGTAGAGCGTCCTTTCCAGCGAGTCAGTATGGACACGACGGATATTGACGTACCACCTGGCCCAAACCGCTGTGAATATTCCATCCTGTTAGTTTTAATTGACCATTTTTCCAAATACCTCGAAGTCTATCCTTGTAAGACCCGAAAGGCCGCCGAAATAGCCACATACATTGAACGATTCCTCTATATCCATCTAGATACGAAAGAAATTCTAACTGACAATGGATCTGAATTTAAAGGTGAGGTAGAAGAACTGCTTGCGCGAAGGGGCGTCACGCTCCGACATACGGCACCCCACGTGTCCCAGTCGAACGGGTTGGCCGAGAATGCCAACCGTATGATTAAAACCGCCTTTCGCAGGAACTTAGCGGCACACGACACGAGTCTGTGGCCCGAGATCGTATATTAGATCGTCGGCATCCACCGGGCCACCCCTCACGAGTCTACGGGATTTACCCCCTTTCAGCTTCGAACTAATAGCCTCCCCTGTGTCGATTACCGGGGTAACTCGGAGATTGCCGAAGCAGGGGGTAGAGACATGCGTGCGGTTCTCAAGGCCAAGGCCAAAAGGTACGCCGATTTGATGGAACGGGCCGTTCCGAAGCTAGCCCGAAAAAGACAAAGGATGACCGAGCTGGCCCACGGTAGACAGGTCCGTAGCTGCGAGGCTCGGAATGGAAACGTTGGGCCCCAGTACCAATATAAATTAGGGGACCTAGTGCAGGTACGTAAATGTGCACGCGACCGGAAACTCGCTCCCAAGTACGCTAGCTGTTTTCGCGTTGTCGAACTCGGACCCAACGGCGCCAACACGGTGCGCGTCGCGCCTGAGGCTAGTGCCAGCCATAGCTCTATCCCCATCGTCCGGCATACCTCCTACCTCTGTCTTCTTCCTCCTTCCGATCGTCCTCCCTATTCTTCCTTGGAAAACGAAGAGAACGACGACGATCTAACTTTCTCCCGTCTTTCTCCCTCTTGTCCTTCGTCCTCCTCTCCGACCTCGCCATGAGTTTTATCACGGAGCGGGTTCTTGACATTCAGCTGTTGCAGCCACGTGGCCACATCTCAGAGATTCGACAAGTTTGTCACCCTCGGCTCAATGCGGATCTTCGACGTTTAATGCGATTTTTCTGCGACGAAGGTATTTGTGTCGCCGTCACGTTTCGAATCGAAGGAAGTCCTCGTGCAGTAGTGTTCGCAGAGGTTACCGCAGTTCATCGGCGAGCGGGTCCCAGAACGAGCCACGTCACCACGGTGGCGGCATTCACCAGCGACATCAGCTCGGTCAATCCACTGCGACATACCGGGATCTTGGCCTCGCTGCGTGAGTGGACGGAGCGAGTGTCCAACGTGTGGCAGCACGTCCTCGCCCGGGAAGGGTATAACATCACCCCGATCTTTGCATCGGATCTTGACGGTATTCGCCGATCACCTCGCGAGCGGCCAGTTGCGATCCCGACCATCGTCCCCTTCCCCCATCCCCAATGAACCACGCTGCTCGTCTCGCTCCTCTCTCTACCTTTGGTCTCCCCTCTCTCTTCCCCACCTTCTGGCAATCCGATCTTCACCCTTCTCTTTCCTTCTCGTTCGAGCCTCTTTCATTCCCTCTTATCCATCCTGGACATTGGCGGCTGTGGCGCGAGACTTTTGAGGAGTTGTCCTTCTGCCTGGCCCGAGTACAAGTGAAGTGGACGGGCACTATCGAGCACCCCACGTGGATTGAGAATCCGGAGTTGCTGATCATACAGGGTTGGAGGACTAACGCGGAAGGAGATCTTATTGGATTCGCCGCCAGTTGATTGCACAGGAGCTCATCGCACCGATCGTGCAATTGGCGGACGATCTCTCGCCCGACATCTACTTTCAGAGCGACAACAGTCCTGCTCCGTACATTTTCGAGCGATCCTTGGATCCGTACCTTCAGTGGACTTCGTGCTTGGAGGAACCTAGGGACGAGGATACGCTACCATCGCGGCAGCAGTATCTGAAGCCGTACGAGATCATCCCTTACGCCTTCCACCCGAGGGCAGAAGAAGTGGTGATTGACGACGACGACGAAGAAGAAGGAACCGGGTCCGAGTGGGAAGCCCCGCCGGAGGAAGCAACACGTACGGGAACGGAGGCGGAAGAGCCGGAAGCAGCACGAAAGCGCGAAGAGATTGTCTCCGGAAAGCGCCAGGTGGAGTTCGCTTGCGAGGCTAGCCTACACATCGGTAGCGATGCGACTAGGCATCCAGAGCCGCCGAGGCCCGAAGATGGCGACCCTGCAGCCGCCACCTCAAGTACCGCACGACGGAGACGGCGTCGATCCCCCCCCCCC